GGTTAAAACATTTTACCTCACGCAACTTGTTACGAGGGGTATAAAAAATATAAGCTGGACTTTGATTAATACGCACTTCTCTGATATGCATCAATAGGATATTTTTCCAATCGACACTTTTTTTAACTTGCTTTACCGTAATCTTAATGTTAACTTTTACATGCACTTATTAAACCTGATAATATCTGTAATGGAAAACAAGATGTGTTTGTGAAACACTATGCGCCCGGCGGCAACAAAGTTCAAAAAATGTAATTTTAGCATATTGGTCACAGTCAAGGTCACAAGGTCATTGACCTTGGTGTCATTTGAAGGAACTTAATCGGTGGAGTATGCATACCAAATATGAAGTCTATATCTCCTATGGTTCAAAAGTTATGGCAAAAAGTGTAAAAAGCTATTTTTAGCATACAGGTCACAATCAAGGTCACAAGATCATTGACCTTGTCGACGTTTGAAAGGACTTTATTAGTGGAGTAAGTATACCAAATATGAAGTCCCTATCTCCTATGGTTCAAAAGTTATGACAAACTGGAAAAAAACTATTTTTAGCATATAGGTCAAAGTCAAGGTCACAAGGTCACTGACCTTGCTGTCATATGAAAGGACTTTAGTAGTGAAGTAAGCATACCAAATATGAAGTCTCTATCTCTTATGGTTCAAAAGTTATGGCGAAGGTTAAAGTTGACAACAGACAGAAAGACAAACAGATAAACAGACAGGACAAAAACAATATACACCCGGGATCTATCGATCCGGGCACATAAAAACAAGCTTCTGCAATGAGTGGTTGCTGAGAAAACTGCGACGAAAATTTATTACGGACAGACAGACGGACGGACAGACATACAGACGGACACACAAGGGTAAAACACCCCCCTCTCCTTCGGAGCGGGGGTATAATAAACTGGTTAGTACTCAGTCAAAAACATATCCATGTATGCCATTGATATTTTTTCAGCAAAATACAAAATTTCAAAGAAACATCAATATCAGTAAAATTGCCCCGACTTCAATATTTTGATAATTGACGTATTTCACAAACAATAAGTGACTTTTTGTAGATCAACAAGTCAATTACAAAATAATAATGTTTGTCAGTCAAAATCCTACGAAACGGAAGAAGAGGAAATTAAAGCAGTGATCTCAAATGAACGGCGAATAAAATCAACTGCCATCAAGCAGATATTCAAACAAATAAAGAGACTGACTTCCCTGCCAAAACTTCAGATGTCAATTCATTTTGTTTGTATGAATGAAGGCCAGCAGAGACAGCTAATGAAATTAGCAGGATCTGGGGATTTTTTAGCCGGGCTTATTGCTCAAAGAGCAATTGCCGGCTTATGTGATCCTGTTCAAGGCAGGATGTTGACCCCATAGTCGCCATTTTAAAGTTACGTGCAAAAATAAAGTTCTTACTCTCAACCGCATTTGAGATAATACAAACGCTAAATAAAGCAACAAAAATAAAACGAAGTTTTATCTATATAAAATAAACATTAGTAGTAATGACTTTGAAAACCTCATAAGTCAAAGAACATAGTTCATTAGCGTAAGGATTTTTGATAATCAGTGTTACCGTAGTTCTCTACACATACGAGCTAGGTAAAGCAGGAGAGGGAAACAGACTGACCTGTTTGTTTATATTCTGCTGCGGTACCAGATTAATTCTGATTCTGACAAAATCGGACCGTGGTATTAGGATTGAAAAACTCACTGTCAGTGTCTTATCATTTATATTGATAGTTTTAAAATAATTTTTTCATCACAATATAAGCGTGATTTATGTATGAAATCCATTCTACTATGTAAATGAGCCCGGCTCTCTGTACTTTGATTTTAATTTGAAAGGGGAGAACCTCTCCTGTCAGGAAAAGAACTAAAGAGTTCGAAGAACGAGGATTAAAAATATCTCTCAAACGCAACGAGACCAAAAGAAGTGCACATGGCCACGACATCTAAAATTCCATGTGGGTCCGGCGTGTCTAAAACAATTGCGGAGGAACCTAGGGAAATACTGTCTACCCCGTCAATTCAAACATTGTCAACTGACGATTCCATGGTTATTGTTAGGTAGAACTTCGTACGTAAACAACAATAGATATATTCTGTAGTAAATGTCATACCCTTTCATTAGTTGCATATATATTTTTATCTAACTCCCAAAGGCCATAGACCTCAGGGTCATGCGATGATTGTTTAAGTTTGCTCCTGACGAACTTCAGTTCCTGTTATCAAAACGTACCTCTAATGTCGTTACTGAGCAAACGTATGGAAACGTTAAATGGCATGGTATTGAATTAAGGAATAATAATACAAAAATTATTATTATTATTCATTCTAGTGATCTTTAAAAGAAATGCTTTAAAGTAAAAATAACAAACTATCGATTTTCTTCCTTACTGTAGATGTCTCAACCCCTAAACGAAGACGAAGCGGGAGCGTAAAGAAGGCAGTCGAAGTAGGATGTAAATATGGTAAAGGCTAACTTAAAGATAAATACACACCCTTAATATATGATAATATATAAAAAAAAACACTTAAGGGCTTTTAGGTAAGACTTTTTTTTTTCTTAGACAAGGGAAAACGACGAAAAAGACGGAGGAAGGTCAGTTGCAGTGGAACATCAACCGACGGAGCTGCGAGTGATGAATCGGTTTTTTGCGAGTTTCATTTATCATACATATCTATAAAGTTGATATCAAGTTGTACTCATATGAATGACGATGACAAGCAATTGATTTCAACATACCATACTGAATCCTGAATTTAGAGTTTAATAGCAAAATATTTCTTTTTATATTAATCCTGGTAGACACATGTATCGTGCAACAGGTTATTAAATTACCTAATAATTTGATTAGGTCTTCCTTTTTAAAGAAAAGTTGCGTGAAGGTGAAGACAATGATGAAATTAAAGATCCTGAATTAGCCGCTACAAAGGTGAATACTAATAAATTTTATCTTGTAAATGAAAAGACCCTCCCCCCAAAAAAAATATCCCTGTATAATTCATAATGGTATTATTCAGTATAATTCATGCATGCTCTCAGAGCAAAAATAATAGGAATAGTATAGTTATATGATTAGGAGAATATGTTAAGCGTTTCTAAAAGGTATGTATTGGTTCATAAAACTGGCGCACCATTTTTGCAGGGAATCAGTGTTAAACTGTGATTTTCAGGGAATCTGCAAAATTAATTTAAGTATATCGATGTACTCTAGTACTATGAAAAAAAAACAGTTGTTATATAACAATTTATTTTAAATACTATGAATAATTTAAATTACTGTGAAATCATCATTGTTCGTGGGGGACCAATGTTCGTGGGTAACCCTGACCCACAAATTTACATCCCAACGAACGTATATACAAACATATGTTTTTATGATTTATTAAAACTGATATCGTAAAATAACCGTTACATGTTCCCTTGTGTCCATTTGATCGCGCACAAAGAAGATAATCTGTATGTGGTTATTGACACAAAACTAAAATTAAAAAAAACAAAACAAAAAAGTATTTAGTATCAAGGACATCGTTAACTATATACAATAAGTAATAAAATGATAAATAAAAATGTCAAATTTAAGTAGTGTTTACATTATAGTCCAACACGCTCAAATGCCCCTTTGATGAGGTCAATTTTCAGTGCGAATTTAGTGTGGGTGGTAATTAGCCAATTAGCATGAATTGGTTTAGAGATTTGAAAACGTGTCCCGTGTACCACTGGTGTTCTTAAGGTAAGGTTTGCGTCTCCCTCCAACTGTTATTTTTTTTAATATGCACACATGCCATATATCAATTTATTCAGGGAGATTAGCTTCATCATTTAATATGATTTTCAAAGATATTGCCCGTCCCATTTTTTTAGTAAAAGACGCCAAATTTAACGTATTTCATATTTCACCTCGAATATTATTTTCATTGAAAAATTGATTTATTTTATTAATTATCAAACTTTTATAATTAAAATGACCTGAATTAGTATAATTCATGCTTCTATTATTTAAACTATTAATTTTCCGTTATCAAAAATGTGAAAAATTGGGTAAAAAAGAAGATTTTTCAATTTTCCTTGATAAAGTGAAACCGTTGCCATGGCAACAAAAATATAAAAATCAACGTTTTACATATCTTACGATTCCATCAAATTCCATGAAGTTATTAATTAGATCATTTTAAATAATTTGAACCAAAAAAATATGTATGTCCCCAATATTATTTCCATGGAAACAGGGGCTATATTATGGGTTCGGAACACAAAAATCAGGCTTTTTCTACTTTTATAAAGACAACATTGATATCACCTTGTCATGGTGAATGTTAAAGACTAAATGTATTTTTGATATTGTTTTTAAGCAAAACTTGGCCAAAAATATTCAAAATAAAACTCCTCCTGTGCTACAAGATGGTCTAAAAATTTATTCCATGGAAGAAATCTAGTATTTATGGCAATCTTTACATCTGAATATTCTGATGAAATTGTCCATGAATTATACTGCAACACCTTTAGAAGTACATGTATATGTTTATAAACATAGTTCAGAACATGTTGCAACTAACCCAATTAAAAGCCTCTGAATTTGACCTCATGCTGATTTAGTTATTCCAACATGCAGTAATTTCTAGACATCTTCGTAGCAAAATATCTTTATTCAGTTATGTCTCGTGACTATCATTATATATGAATGCCATCTTTTGAGTGAAATGTTGTAAGCATTGCATCCACGAAGCTGCTGTTTTTATAATTAAATGATTTCTTTATTTCGAAGAGTAGAATTGCTATCTTGAAAGTAATGTTTGTTTGCCCTCTCTTGACTCTGGGTAAAATTATTGGGTCGGTAGGTGAGAAAATCTTCAACAACATTTCTTTACGGGGAATAAGAGGAATAAAAAGAAAAAATATGGCCCTGCGTTGAAAAAAAAATTTCAGTCTGGTCATTTTAGTCAGTCGGTCTGGAGAGGCAGACAACCAAACATATCTTAAAGACAGCCTATTTCTACACTTCATGGACATTAGCTCAATCATTGGATTAGGTAGTCAGAGAATCTAAATTGAAATATCAGACAGAACAAAATAAAGATGAATTCTAAGTGACTTCAATTCATACTTTAATGAGTTTACAGAGTACTTCTGATTTCAGAGAAAAGGCAAATTCTGCAAAATGACATAACACTGTCATAAATATTTGTCAAGAACAGGGAAAAAGAAACAATGTTACAGTGATAGATATATCTCCTTGATATCCATGAAATAATAATTTAAATATAAAATTTTTTTCTCCTTTTTAAAATCAAAATTCAGAAAAAAATTAAAAGATTATAAATGTAAACAATTTTAAAATAAACTACATGTATTTGTGAAAGATTTTAATTTTAGTTGATTACTAAACTGGTCTTATCATTCCTACTAAATTAACAACCTTTCAATTTCCAAGTGTCATATTTTAAACTGTTAAATGTTCACTGCAGCTTTATTTACAAAACTCTTCAGTTTTCAGAAATACTTATTTGAGCATATTAGGTCCTGGTAAGAACTGTACGCAGATGAGATTAAACTTATTCAAGAGAATCAAGCAGGTTTTAGAAAAGAATTTTTTACTCTAGACCATATTCTGACAGTTTACATTCTTTTATCAAACACACTGATGAAGTGTACGAAAACACTTTTTTGTGCTTTTAATTTATAGATTTCAAGCAAGCATTTGACACTGGAGAAATGGTCTCTGGAGTAAACTTTTAAATTATGGAAATAAAGGCAAATGCTTAACGTATATTACAAATGTGTATCAGGGAATTAAATCACTTATAAAGATGAACGGCACAACAACCGATTTTTTCTTTTGTAATGTCGGAGTCCGGCAGGGAGAAAACTTATCTCCTTTTTTATTCTCCTTGTACATTAATGATTTAGAGAATTATCTTGTTGATAGGAATATAATCGGTTTACAAAGCCTTACAACTTCAATAGAAAATGATTTATGTGTTTATTTGAAACTTCTTATACTCTTATATGCTGATGATACTGTAATTTTAGCAGAAACTCCTGAGGATCTACAAAATGCTTTGAATGAATTTGAAAGTTACTGTTCAGAGTGGAAATTACAAGTAAATATTGAGAAGACCTAAATATTAATTTTTTCAAAAGGTCCTTTGTGCAAAAGGGTATTTTACTATAATAACAAGAGTCTAGAAACTGTAAAAGAATTTAAATATCTTGGAATCATTTTTTCAAGATCTGGCTCCTTTTTAAAAGCAAAGAAACATCTCTGTGACCAAGCCCAAAAAGCAATGTATGGTGTAATCAGGAAAATAAGACAATTTAACCTCCCTATAGAATGTCAATTCGATTTGTTTGATAAAATGGTTTTACCAGTGTTACTTTATGGTTGTGAAATCTGGGGTTTTGAAAATTTAGATATTATTGAACGTGTACACTTAAAATTTTTAAAACATATTCTGTATTTTGAAAAGTAGTACCCCGAATTATATGGTTTATGGTGAAACAGGACGTTTTCCACTATCTATCATTATATATCCAAGAATAGTATCATACTGGTGTAAACTATTGAATTGCACAGAGAAGAAAATTTCATGTATATTATATCAATATTTAATTGCTAATTCACAATCTGAAATTGGTAAAAATCCTTGGATTGACTGTGTTCATCATATTTTTGATTCATGTGGACTATCTCATATTTGGAATGAACAGTTTTATCATAATATTAGTCAAGATTGGGTTACTTCTGTTGTTAAACAAAGATTACAGGACCAATTTATACAAAAATGGCATTCTGATATTAATAGTTCCTCTAAAGGTATTTTGTATAAAGCTTTTAAAACAAAATTTGAGGGCGAAAATTATTTAAGTTTTTTGCCGTTAAAATTCAGAAAAATACTTGTCAAATTCCGTACTACTAATCACCGTCTACCAGTTGAGCTGGGAAGATGGGCATGCACACCATTAAACGAAAGATTATGTACATTTTGTAATGATAAACATGTTGCTGATGAATTCCATTTTATACTTGAATGTTCTGCACTGTCAAATATAAGAAAGAAATATATTAATGAATACTACTTTACAAGACCAAATATTCTTAAATTTTCCCAACTGATGACAAAACAAAAAATGTTTATATTAAAAATATATGACTTAGTCTGTCCTCCATGATTTGTTCCCCTCATTCATTTTATTATTATATGTATCACATGTGATTTTTCCATTTTTTTTTCTTCATTTTTTTCTTTCTTTTTTCCCTTTTCATTTCTTGATTTTGTATATCTTATACTTATATACCTCTGACCTGATTATATATATATGTTGTAAATATTTCTCTTTGTCCTCATGTACCATGTATTAAAATGGTGTTGAGTGAATAAATGAACTTGAACTTGTAAAAACAAAATTTAATGAATAAAAATATTAAATTTAATTGTTCATGTATTAATTTCCTTGCAATTTTACAAAATAACCCTTTTAAGAAACTTGTTACTTGTAAGTGTAGACAAAAGCAACCTTCAATTAATACCTTAATGTATACATTTATTTTACTGAAAACAAATTCAAAGATGGACAAATAGAGCATGCACTGCAATCATCACATACACATATTTTCTAAATATATTGAAAACAGCATGTATATACTACCAGGTAGATAGGATGCTGTTAAACATTAAATTTTTTTCTATAATCTATAGACATATTAAAAATATGCATTGGGTACAACAAAACATCATTTCTTTTCCAAATCTCCATTGACTTTGCCATGTCTGGTTCAACATCTTAGCTTGATCCATCCAACTTTCTTTAATATTCTTGAGCTGATATGGGATGACCTCTACTTTGATTGATGGCACAAATCTTTTAAGGAAACACTGAAGTACATGTACTTTTTTTGTTCTTATCTATTCCAATTAATGACCCAATTGATCTGAAATCATATGTGTTCATTTTAACAATAACATTTAAGGAATTGCATTTTTGGAATTGCATAAGGAATTGGACTGAATTTCATTCACTCAATGAAATGAAATTTCCAATATAATCAATGAAGAATCAATATGAAATTATTGTACAATTTATACATGTAGATTGAATTAGTGAAATGCAAATGCTTGATCAAGAAAATTAATGTTCTTGTCATGCACAATTTGTATTAATTAAAAAATGAGATATTAATTAAAATCAAACCTCATTTAAAAGGTAACTTGAACAATTGAATACCTGTTCCAATAATGTTACAAATATTAGGCCTAAAAAGCAAGGATTTTTTTCATAATTTCTTGAATGAATGCATTTTTATTTTTTGGCAATTTTGATGCCACATCCTGACATCCTTGTACCGTTTATTCATCGTTTTTAAATCTGTAGTCAGAAGATCATTCATAACTTTCAGTAAAATGAATAGTTAAATAATTACCTGATGAAAATACTATCAACAATCAAACTGTCAACATCATCATTGGACATGGTCAAATGCACCGTGACTTTTCTTCCCTGTTCGGACTGCATAAAGCATAATACTTTACAGGATACTCTCAGGTCTTTTCTTTTTTCCTTCCCATTCTCACTTAAAATTTTAGTGTAGTGGTGAAGCGAGAAACACACAACAGCACAATGCGTCGATAACTTTCTTCTGATCGGAATGGCCTACAACTTCAATGCCACATTCCGTATCGAAAATAAACAAGTCCTCCTTTATTGGTTCATCCACATGCATCACGCTAATCTCAAAGGCTTTTAAGATTCCTATGCTTTCATTTGTTATAAGACTTTCTCCTTAAAACGTCCTTTGTTTTTAGTCCTTACAATAAGTGACAACAAACATCAAGTATGACAGAGGAAATTCGTTACCGAGATGCTTAGCATCGCTGGTTTAAAGTCGCCTGTTTCAAACGCTTTGGTGATTCGCAAGAGTTATCTCCCTGTAAACGCAAACCTTACCTTAATTATCATAATTTACTGTGACATCACGTCTGTACTTTGTCGGTGCAAGCCGCCAGTACGTTTTTGTAACTTAAATAACCAACATTGATGGAGTTACCCTTCTTTGTTTTAACTTTGGAGAGAAAAACAAGAGGCCCAAGGGCCTTGAATCGCTCTTCTGATAAATTGTACAACCTATCACTTGTATTTGAAGCCTCTAACCCTAAGTATCCTATTAAAGACCCAAGTTGCATCACCTGACAAAGTTTGATGATTCTTAGCCAATTAGAACTACTTTTTGGTCTACATTCTTGGAAATCACAAAATGCATCAAGTGACAAAGTTTGATTATTCTAAGCCAATAAATACCTTACATACTTAAATATAGCCATAAAATGTCGAAAGTAAGTCATGGTGACCTACATTTTAGTCAACATTTTTCAGAGTCCCAAGATGCAACTGCTGACTAAGTTTGATAATTCTAAGCCAATAAATACCCGAGATATTCAAAAGTAGGTCACTGTGACTTACTCTTTGGTCAACATTCTCAGAAAACCCAAGATGCATCAACTGACAAAGTTTGATGATTCTAAACCAATAAGTACCGTAGAATACTTAAATATAGCCATAAAATGTCGAAAGTAGGTCATCGTGACCTACATTTTGGTTGACATTTTTTAGAGTCCCAAGATGCATCTGCTGACCAAGTTTGATAATTCTAAGCCAATAAATACCTGAGTTATTCAAAAGTAGGTCACCGTGACCTACTTTTTGGTCGACATTCTCCGAAAACCCAAGATGCATCAACCTGACAAAGTTTGATGATTCTAAGCCAATAAGTACCGGATATACTTAAATATAGCCATAAAATGTCGAAAGTAGGTCACTGTGACCTAATTTTTGGTCATCACTATCCGAAAACCCAAGATGCATCAACTCACAAAGTTTGATGATTCTAAGCCAATAAATACCTAAGATACTTAAATATAGCCATAAAATGTCGAAAATAGGTCACCGTGACCTACATTTTGGTCGACATTTTTCAGAGTCCCAAGATGCATCTCCTGACCAAGTTTGATGATCATGGGTTTGAAGGTAATCAAAATATGCCTTTTAAACAATTTGAAAACAAATGCCTGCAAAATTCTAAAAGTAGGTCACAGTGACCTACTTTTTTAAAAATATGTTTTAAGGTTCCATGATGCAGCAACTTACAAGATTTGATGATTCTAACCCTTTCAGTGCCTGAAATAATGAGATTAAATGTTTTGAAAAGGATAAGTCATCAAGTTCAAAAAGTAGGTCACGGTGACCTACTTTTACGTTGACGTTGTTCAAGGACCCAAGATGCATCAACTGACTAAGTTTGATGATCATAGGCCTTAAAGTATCCAAAATATGCCTTTAAATCAATTTGAAAACAAATGCCCGCAAAATTTAAAAAGTAGGTCACCGTGACCTACTTTTGAGTTAACATGATGTGAAGTCCTAAGATGCATCAACTTACAAGATTTGATGATCCTAGTCCTTATAGTAAGCAAAATATGAACATTTTTATTAATTGTATATTTAGGTCAACTTTAAAGTGACCTTGAGACCACGCCCTTTGCCCCAGGGTCATGCCTTGAACAATTTTTAATCTTTAACATATCCTGATCCTTGTATGTAAGTTTGGTGAAAATCTGCCTGGTGGTTCTGGAGAAGAAGATTTTTTAGCAACCAGTACTTTTGGTTTTGTTTTCCTGATTATCTCCCCTTGATTCAGGGTCCCAACCCTTATTTTAGTACAAATGGTAGCCCTTGGGCCAAGGATACCCTGTGACAAATTTGACACTGATTGGCCAAAGGGTTCTTGAGTTATGGCCCATATTCTAAAAAGTTAACGCACACCGCACGACGCACACCGCACAAATGGCCATAGCATTAGCTCTTTGAGCCTTTGGCTCAGAAGAGCTAAAAAAGAAATAGAACTTGTTACCAAGGAAATTACGTCCCCACGAACATTGACCCCCACGAATAAAAATGATTCCACAGTATTATGGAAAGAAAAATTATAATCGATACTATTATTTGTACAGAAACGGGAAAAAAGAAGCCAACTGAGTACAAGACACGACAAAGAAGTAAAGGTACGATGGCCAATGATTTTCCTGATAACCATTTAATCAAAATCTTTTGCTCTATTTATTGAAATAGTTTTTCGCAGCACATTTATAGTTACAGGTAAAGAAAAACAAATTGCGCCATGCAAAGTGGGAGAAAATCAATCGCAAGTCGCGGACAAGGAAACACAGCCCAATATACAGAACGCGGAAGAGGAAGATGAAAGTTCCGAAGGTCAGTCTGTTATTAGAAACGGTCTGGCAAGCCTCGGAAAATGTGAACTTAGAAGAGACGCTACAAACTGATACCGAGGGAGGACGGTGGGGGAGAGACGGGAGGAGGGACCTGATTTGACGAAAATATCGAAGCATCCTTGTACAGTGTAGATTTATGTATGTTCAAATCATGACCCCCGGTGGTAGGGTGGGGCCACAGTGGGATATCAAAGTTTAACATAGGAATACAAAAGACAATTTAAAAAAATCTCACAAGAACTACTGGGCCAGGATAGATAAAACTATGGTAGTGTAGATTCAAATTTGTTCAAGCCATGACCCCTGGGGGTAGGGTGGGGCCACAATAGGGTATCAAAGTTTAACATAGGAATACATAGGGAAAATCTTTAAAAATCTTCCTCTCAAGAACCACTGGTCCAGGAAAGATGTGGAAGCATTCTCTGGTAGTGAAGATTCAAATTTGTTCAAATGACCCCCAGGGGTAGGATGGTGCCACAATGTGGTATCAAAGTTTAGCATAGGATAACATGAGAAAACCATGATTGGTCATAATCATAATCATATTAAAGCATCATCTGTTAAATAAATGTTAATTTATGTTTCTGCAAATCATGACCCCATGGGTAGGATTTGGTCACATTTTGGTCACACCCCCTCCAAAAAAAGCATTTTTTTATATTTTATAAACTTTTCAAAACTTAACTTTATTCATGGTTTTAATGATGGACATTGTTGTTGCAAATTTATATCACAGGAATTTAATGCGGAAGATATATTTCCTTGTTCTTACATAGTACATGTATATTTCGGGATGATGAAAATAAAATTGCGTTCAAAGAACAGATACAAAGAACCTACAAGTATCTCCCAGAAACAACACCATCAAGTTCAAAAGAACAGAAAGAGCGCATGAGAGATTACAGAGATACACTTAAGCAAAATCCAGAAATGTTTGACACATACATAAAGTTACCTGCTGCTTATATGAGAATAACACATTCAAATTGGACAGAGAAGGATAAAGAGATGGACACATTATTCACAATGGCTGCTTCCATGCGAAAACTAAGAATTAAATGTCATATAAAGCATATCTTCTCGAAAATGTTTCTCAAATCTGAAAGCTGCAAAGAAATTTTTCAACATTTTTCGATTGATTGACTTTTATACCCCGGCCCGGCCTTTAAATAGCTATTTTAAAACCTACATTAAATTATAAAAATACACCTACCTAGTCTTAAACAAGAGATATATCTATGCATGAAATCAATGTGGTACATGTATATATATATATATATTAAAACAAAATATTTGTTGCAGAAAAATGTCACAACCTCTAGTACATATTGTATAAGTGAAAGAAATCATCCAGACATGATGTCTAAGATTGGTTGAAAGCAATTGAAGTAAGTGAAGAGGTTCCACAGGTTTTTAAAGGTAAAATTACAATATCTAAAGTAAGAATATAAAGAAGAAGGTATGGTTTCCATACAAATTTTGCCCTGTGATTTTCTAAAAAATGAAACCGGTGTAAGAGTTGAAAACTCATGCTTTTTAAATAATGGAAATTCAATGCAGAAAAATCATAAAAGTCATTTTTCTCACATGTGTTTTTAAATGCTAATTATGACGTCATAAACATGTGCATTTTCCCATAATTTCTTAAAAAGTTGCAGAAGACACCAATTTTCAATGGAATTTTCTTTCAGATATCATTGTCCACAGGCATCGCCCACAAAGATCTTGAGATATGTGATTTGTTATTATATTTTGCACAACATATCAAAAAATTAACGTGGGCGACGGCTGTGGACACTAAAGGAAAATCACCCTCGAAATGTGCCATTTTGAGGCTTTTTCTGTTGAAAATAGAGAATTGCTCAACATTAATGACGTCATATTTGCAGAATGGTAAACCTTCATGCCATATTTTTTCCTGATTTATCACTGTCATATATTTAACTAATATTTAAGCCAGTTTAAAAACTTTTTGATGTCATTACATTTTTAGGGCGCAATAAAGCTAAAACCATACCTTCTTCTTTCAAGTACATCATGCATTTAAAATATGATTTTGAATATTAGTTATTAATTGGCCTAACGATAAGAAAGTTTATCTTTTAATTTAACATTTAAAACATTTGTGATCTTAAACTCTGATCATGACAAGTAGCACATAGCGGGTGTGACCGGTCGGCAGGGGATGCTCACTCCTCCATGGCACCTGATCGCACCTCTGATGTTTCGGGGGTCCGTGTTTGTTCTGCTCTTATATTGTATTGTTTATGGACTTTGAGATTGAATACTTTTCGTTATCTCCATATCCTTCATCTACACATTGTAAAATTGCTAACATGCATTACTTTTATTATGAATGCAATAAAACCTTTTCGACATTCCATTCATAGCGGGGCCCTAACTATTATTTACTGATACTTAATGCATTGTATACCGTGTCAAACTTGTCAGTATACATGTTACAGCAATATTTTAAAC